ACCGGCAAAACCAGCCGTGCATGGGCTGGCCAACCGGCAAAATCGACCGTGCTTGGGCCGGCCAACCGGCAAAAAGAAGGCCGGCACAGCTACGGCCGGCATTCAAGGCCGGCCAGCCAAAAAAAAAAATTATTTTTATATTAAAAAGGGTAAAACTATCTTTTAGGGGGGCGGTATTTAGTAAAAAGGGGGACGGTATTTAACAACACCCTTTACTTTTTACTGAGCGGACGATTCGAGGGATTCCAGGATGGTCTGGATTGAGGCGATTTAGGGTGGACTACGAAGGAGCAACGACGGCGGATTTGGAGACGCCGGCGGAGGATTTGGGGAAGGAAGATGAGCCCGTTTCTGAAATGCGAAGGGATGAATTAGTGTACTGAATTAGGACTTAGGGCTGTTTACTTAACTAGTGAAAATCTCGTGCGATGCACGGGGGTTTCGTACCTTAGAACATTTTTCAAAACTCTATTTTAACAATATATCAGCCTGCTGATCCGTTTATATTAATATAAATATTATTTTAACATATATATTTATTTTTTATTACATAAAAAAAATTCTACATATTTTAGTTCTTCATAATACTCAAATATTATTTTATTTATAAATTTATTATCGTATAATATCATTACTATTATTACACTTATAGAAGTTATATTCTTTTTTATATAATGATAAATATTTGATGTATATTAATTCTATATCTTGATGTGATTAATTTGAAGTTATAAAAGCACATAATATTTGTTAGAAATGTAATTATATGTAAGTTAAGATAAAATATAATGTATCCAAAAAATCAGCTTATGATATTTTGCCTTAAATGTTTAAATGAATTTTATATTCATATTAAAAATCAATAGCTAATTTTTTCAAAGAATTAAAAAAAAATACCATTTGTAGTATCATTCAATATTTTAGACGGGATTTTACTTTCTACTAAAAGTAAATCTCTATTGCAATTTTATAGTAATAGATTATTAAGACATATGTTGAAAACTTTCAAATTAATTAAAATATTTAATAATTAATCGATACTTGTTAAAAAGAATTATAATTTTTAGTTTATCAAATTATTTTATTATTAAATTTAATAAACATATATTATATGCTATATATTCTTTTAAAAAATATCATTTACTTGGGCCAAATCAAAACAATAAATTAAAATTATTGCTGCATTTAGGCTACAATAAGGAATAATTCGACTCACATTAGAACCAAATGAACCCTGAATACAAATACAACGGGCTCAGCGTTAGGATATTTTGCAAAGCTCGTTATAAATCAAACGGGCTAATTGAAAAGTGGTCTAATCTTAAGAACTCATAAATTTGGGCTTAAAGACAAAACTAACCCCCTAATAAAATTAGATTCCGTTAATGAAACCACATAAATGGAATACCAAATATATCTCAATAGGTAGTTACATTCCAAAATTCAAATTTAAATCAATAACTACCCTCTTTTTTTTTTTTTAATTCTCTCTTTTCCCTCCCTCTTTCTTTAATTTTCACGGTTTTTCTTTCATCTTCTATTTTCTTCTTCTTTCTTCTTCTTTTTCTACACGAAGACCTAAAAAAAGTACACACATAACAAAAAAAAAAGATTAATCAAACGATTATATATATGTACGTAGCAATTAAATTAACTAAAAAAAACACAAATATGATTATAAGAAAACGAGACAAAGATAGGTTGGTACCAGCAAGACAACAACAAAAGGTCATGTAAGGTCATGTAGAACGTTTGGATTATTGCAAGTAGAACGTTTTAATGCCATGTAAGGTCATGTAACATCAACCATGTAAAAGGTCATTTAAGTATTATGTTATAATTTCATACTAGTACTAATACCCATGTACAATATATGTGTTGAGTTAATGAATATATGTATAAAGTTATTTATGTCTAATACCAAACATAACTCCATAGCAAAAATAATATAAAAACAACATCACGAAGCATAGATTTTCGCTATGTCAACATCCGAAGCGTGAGAATCTGCCACCTAGGCTCAACACGTTTTGAATTAATATATAAGGAGGGATAACAAATTCATGTAGAAATAAATTATAGTATTTTCTTATACTTAAGCACTTGCACATATTGATTGCATTAGATTTGAAGGTATTATAACATGTGTTTATTATTTTGTTTTGCATTAGTATAATCATCAGTGGCGAAACCAGGATCCCGTTTCGGGGAGGGCCCAATTTGCCTTTTAAAAAAATTTTCACGACAAAACCAAACATAAACACAAATTTTCTCCGATCCAGCTTCCCCTCTATGGCTCCATGCCTCCCTGCTCAGCTGCTTTGTGTTTTCGGATTCCAAATTTCCGGTGGCGCCCCTCCGGCCATCCCGCGGCGCACCACCCCCACTCCGGCATCGGAAGGGCGCTCAAAGGGCGCCCTTCCAGTTCCAACAAAACCCCCCACCTCTAATTCAATTTTTTTTTGGAAACGCCAGCGCCTCTCCCACACATAGAGTAATTTCGCCCCGGATAATCATTACACAGGAATCAACATTGCTGGAAACTGAACCGCCTTAATCCAGAAGGTGAAAATTGATCTTTTGGCATATAAATTTTAAGTGATTGAATAACAAATACGTACTATGTTTTAATGTATTATTTTTTCGACTATAAGTGCAAGAAAGTAAGCATACGACAACAAATTTCATATTAATTCGTTTTCTCAATTATATACATAAATTATTGTTCATTTACGAAATTTGCATTCTCAACTAAATATTTGATATAATGTTGTTACAGATCTATAACCCACCTTCAAATTTTTTTTATGTGAGGATGTGGATAAGATGGAGTAACCCTTTGATGCGTTGAACAAAAACCAATGCCAGGCATACAGAATCAAATGAAAGGCAAAATTATAATGAATCATAAAATAAAAGATATTAATTTTTAGAGCACAGGAAAAAATTTGTATAGTAGATTGTTTTCTTTTAGTTTCTATGCGTTTTATTCCTTCATGTTGCTTGTTGATTATACCCAGTGTACTTCCATCGTTTTTATCCTTCATAGTCTGTTGTACTTGTATGTAACCTTGCAAAAGAAGAAAAAAA